ACTATCGTTAAATATCCAGATAAAACTAAGGACATATTATTATACTTCCATGCACATTTTTAAGTTTTAGTCTTTAATAACAATATTATATGATAATATATAATTATAATATACTATAAAATAAAATACAAACAAAAATAACATAGTAAATATATACTCACTATTGTATGATTATAATAAAAAAAAATTCGTATAATTGTATCTGACAATATGTGTGAAATGTGCATTGTTATATTTTTTTGTTTTTACTATTATTTTGATTTTTTTTTTTCATGATGTCAATTTAATGATAGTTGATAGGGTATACTTCCGATACTCGGGGTTTTATCATACATGCAGYGTTACCTTTACAGTTATGCTCGATAAGTAGATTATTATGTATTAAGATATTAAGTTATATATTATAAGAATAACTTCGATGAATTATATTTATGTAATTCAATAWAGAACAAATAATAAACAGAGTGTTAAATRATATTATATTCATCATAAAGTATACACCATATATTATCAGTGCAAACATTATATATTAACCTGATCTATCCTATTTTAATATGATCCTTGGATCTTTGATCAAACCGATCGTAGTGGCAGGTGCGTAACTTTATGATTCGTCAAACTGGAGCTTCTGGAGAACGATTTGTCACACACATCGCACCTATACGATTTTTGACCAGTGTGTGTACGTCGATGTCTTGTCAAGTTGTTGCATTGGCTGAACGATTTGTCACACACATCGCACCTATACGATTTTTGACCAGTGTGTGTACGTCGATGTCTTGTCAAGTTGTTACATTGGCKGAACGATTTGTCACACACATCGCACCTATACGGATTTTCGCCAGTGTGTGTACGTCGATGTACGGTCAAGTTGCTACATTGGCTAAATGATTTGTCACACACATCACACCCGTACGGCTTTTCGCCAGTGTGTGTTCTTCGATGTGTTGTCATGTTGTTACATTGGCTGAACGATTTGTCACAAACATCGCACAAATACGGTTTTTCGCCAGTGTGTGTACGTCGATGTACTGTCAAGTTGCTACATTGGTTGAATGATTTGTCACACACATCGCACCTATACAGTTTTTCACCATGGTGTATGGGTCGATACGTCATTTTCAAATTGCCATTTGGGTTGAACGATTTGTGACAGGGATTGCATTGGTAATTTTTCTTATTCATGTTTTCGTCGGAGTGATGGCAGGCTACTTCTATTTGTACACAATTTATTTAATATTTAAGTGTTTTTTGGGTTTTTCGTAAATCTATTTGGTAACTATACACTTTTTTGTTTATGATCGATTAGACTTTATTGACCACACCAGATTTTCAAGCCAGTATTTTATGTAGTATTTTTTAACATTATATAAAGTATAATATTATGGCCTTACGTATWATTAATTTATATTAAATTTTATAATAATACCTGATTCCCATGCACTTAATTGAAGGTTAAATACTAACTCTATGCAAAAATGGAAAATTGTTTACGTTTTTCGATATTTTATAGACCGTGATTTGAATAAAAAATTATTCTGAAATTAACAGGTGCTAGACGCATTTCGTGAAATCGGTCAGAATTTACTAAAATATACTTTGATACTAATCTAAAAAATACGTAAAATAATATAAAAAATCGCACCAAACATTATCAGTCGACAGGTATAAGTATATTATTATTTAATGCATCGTCGAGAGTAATCATTGTATACGTTTTACTTTTTACAACAATACATTTAAAATATAAAATACATAATGATCATATATTTTGATATTCAAACCAAAAAATATAGAATCTATATAGGATCTGATGTATATATAGATGTTAAATTGCATGCTTTATATTTCAATTTAATGAGAATAAATGAATAATTTTAAACAGCTGTATCTGCTTACAAAACGAAAAATTAAAATTGTTATAATCAGCTGTTTAAAAGAGCTACAGGAGAACTCTGTATTATATGYATATATTCATATATACGTTATATTTTAGAAATAGACCAATGCATTCGCTCYAAGGTTACGATTCATTCTTATGAATAACCTTAAAAATATACAAATTTTTCGTGTTTTGAATCCCATTGGTGACTGATAATTATTTTAGATTCTGAGCGAAGCAACAAATATAAGTTAATTCGTTATATTTTATTATATTCACATCAATAAAAATGAATTAAGTTAATATATTTTAAATCGAAAAAGCTAAGATTAACTTTTAGTTATATATTAAGTATTATTATAAAAAAAAAACACACACACACATCATGGTAAAATCATAAAATCAATACATTCCTAACTCCGATCTAAGAATACAATAAAATTATGATTACCAAAATGATACATTATTGTCATAGATAAGTATCAATAAGACATAAGTTAATTAATAACTGTATGCGATCAAAGAAATTCACAGAATAMCATTTATTATACATATCATGTTTGAAATGAGCATTAGTAGGTACTTGGCATATTACAGGAACGATTTTTTTTATCATCCGATAATACCTAAACGGTGTGACACCATGTGTAGTTTTTGAAAATATTTTGACTGAAAGACTTTGTTTTATTTTTGTACAAAAACCAAAATTATTTTAAAAGTGACTATGCGTATTTGACACCTTTAATCCTTGGCTGTATACATAGATTATGTTATTATCGAAAAAAATATTCATTTTCCATTTTGGTAATTTACGACTGAACCCACATAATATACATAATAATATATATGTATAAATACTACAACTGTGATTCAATAATTATATAAATGCGGTCCCRCGTAGTTTGTACAAACCGTATATAATGGTTTTCATAAATTATCCATATAAATAATTTTTTATCGGTTTGATTTGTACTATTTACGTCAGTGAGTTTAAAAAAACTGTCGTTTTTAAACATTTATATAATGGGCTTGGCGCAYATAAATCATTTTTTTTTGTGATAATATCTAAAAGCGGTGAATTTTCATTAATTCGTTTCATCAATTAATAATAAGAACAATAATAATTGATGACTAATTTTAAATTTGGATGTTCTGATGTTCATATTATTCTGTCAATTTACAAATCTGAGCTTTGTCGTCGTCAGTTATACATAACATAACATAAATATTAACGTTTTCAACGAGGAAACATTGGTGTTAGTATTGGTAATATAAACTAATAAATACTATTGAGTTTTTTTTTAATGAAGTTAACTTTTCAAATTTATAAGGAATTGTATATATTGCCTATTGCCTATCATTATTGTATTATTATATCAACTATTAATTTTATTATTTTTATTATTATGATGTTATCATTGAATTATGCTGAGGTAAAAGTAATGATAATAATAAATGGTCCTTGGGGGTACACATAGACCCGTAGATGTCACATAGATCCCAACGGTGTCATATAGAACCGGAGGGGATTTCACTGGATCCTTGGAAGTCAACCGTAGAGGGATCTACAAATATAGCATTACATAACTTCCCTGTACACAATATTCTTGGTGATRAATCGACCGTCGTCATCACCGTACATACCTACTTCTCAGTGATTGTGCGTTTTTCACTCTCGAAAAAGCTACGTAAAATTGCCAATGCATGAACACGGGCGACGGCAGTAGCAAACTCACACGATCAAACGTCTGACCTTGAGACTTATCAATAATCATGGCGAAAGACAACCTTACCGTGCCGCATAATGATGGGCAGGTCGTCCTCGCCACTGGACGATGATATCTTCTTGTGCATCGCCGCTCAAAACCCTGGCTTTAAACTGCTATGAAGCAGTTTGGTGACCACCAACTTCGTAACGTTGCACAGTCGTCTCTTTAGATCTAGATTTCTGAGCAACATTACAATTGAACCCACCTTTAACGTCAGCCGGTACGGTAGCAAGCTGTCTAGTTCCAAACTGTTGAGGAACTCTGTGAGGAAATTGGCCACTTCGTCATGACCGCCATAGACCGTTTCGCTTGATCGAAGACATGACAATGTCACCTCTTGATCCTTTTCGGACCACGGGCCTGAATTCACCCGCGAACAACATGGGCTTACCACCGAAAGGCAATTATGATCCCATGAAGTCCTTAAGCAGGCGATCCACTACAGTCAATTGCAGTCCCGGGGATATTGGCGCCTCGTCCCACACGATCAGCGCCGCGCCGCGTATCCTGTACGCTAGCTCAGACTGCATGGTGATGGTCGATGTGGAGTCTTCGGTCAGCGTACCGAACAGCAATCCGAACGTCAAGTGTAGGGTCATGCCACCGTCCATGAGAGACGCCGCGATCCCGGTAAATGCGACACACAACACAGGTTGCAGAGCAACCATATGAGGCATCCATACAGCGTTGTTTTCCCGGTACCACCGGGTCCTTCGACATAGAAAGTTTTCGCTACGTCTTGACGATCGTCGATGGCCGCCATCACGCGGTCGAACACCGTCCGTTTTTCGGCGTTCATGTCGTCCAATTTTTGTGCCCACCATGCCGCCGCGTCTATTGTGTGGAACATACTGCCGTCCTGTTCCGGTTCCAGCATGAGGGGTCCGCCAGGGGCAAGCCGTAGTCGCCCTGCAACTTTCCGTGCGCACGAAGTAGATCCCCAATGGCGTTCAAACACGCGGCCTTGGCGCGGTCGACRTCTTGGAGGCGCCGATTAAAATCCTCCATCAGGTTTGCTTGATTCACCTCGTACAACGCTAGTGGGTTTGAGGGCTCGTAGAACACCAGTATTGTGACGAAGAGATACCGCAGTTACCACCGTGTATGTTTCGTGAACGATCCCGTCCTGGATGGACGAAAGGACTGCGGGCCTCTTCGGTTCAGAAGTAGCAGTCACAAGTTTAAACCGTCCCGGTCCAGTGGATTGACAATGTACATCCGAGCCAACGTCTCGTTTGCCATCAGTCTCCGCCGCCGCGATCATGTTCTCTGCGGCGCGTTCCATGTGTAATGTGTCGGTATTTCGTGGTACAGGTATTGCTGGGCCATCATATCGTGCACGTTAAGTATGAAGAACTCTGTTAATCTTGTTCGATGTAAAGCTTCGTTTTGCAAGCGTTCTTGCACTTGCCCTGGCGAAAAATACACATTCTGTCAACCTTCCAGGTGGACAGGAAGTCTGACGATCGTTTGACTTCTCTCGTGTAGTTCGCACGAAAACAACCTCCAGATGCCTTCCGGTGGGCTGACGTATCTTGAGTTAACGWAACTGAAAACCAAAACAATAATATCAATAAGACGACTATTACTATCTTATGTGGTCCAGTAGATGATATTTTTATATGAGGTTAGGCTGAGTGAGTAAGATATATAAAGTAGAATGAATAAATTTAATCAAATAAAAAACTAAAATGTCATACGTATAACATTCATAAGAAATAAAAGGTAGGTTAGTAAACATTATTGTTTTGGTTTTCAGTAGATGATATTTTTATATGAGGTTAGGCTGAGTGAGTAAGATATATAAAGTAGAATGAATAAATTTAATCAAATAAAAAACTAAAATGTCATACGTATAACATTCATAAGAAATAAAAGGTAGGTTAGTAAACATTATACAAATATACATATTATGATTATTATGATATGATGTATATTGTATTAATGTATTGATATTGCAATACTACTACATTTTATAAATTAATATTCATACAATAAAATGATGAAAAGTGTAATGTAAGAACTATTTTTTACATATCTGAGTGGCAGGTGCCGCAGTGACGGCAGTGCGCCAGGCCAAGTTCCAACAATGCCAGTGTATCTTTACACGAACCAATTTGCCCAGTTTTTCTAACATATATATCTCTGTTTCGTCTTAAGATAAACTTTTGAAATTTAAAACACAGATTAATCTCGAGTAGTTTAGGACGCTGTAAGAAAATGAGCCCTTAATATTGTGCCATTTCAAAATGGGAGGATTTCAAAATTTGCAAAATTGTTACTGACTGACTCACTGATCATCAACATTATTAGACACTTACCGTATAGGTAGAAACGTGAAATTTGGCACAAAGGTAGGTTACAGTGTAACTAAAGGGAAAAATCTAAAAATTTAATTTTTTTCAAAATTAATACCGCTTCAGTGAGTGTATTTCTAAACGTATGAAGTGGCGCGCTTAGCACGCATAAACGTTTACTTTCAAACAGCGTTACAATTTGGTAATAAGGAATTGTTTGTAGTCGACTTAAATATA